CTTTGATACTATACCTACTCTCTAAATATGGGAAACACCAACTCAAGTATATTATGCCGCTTTTAATAAATTACCGAGCTAAACTACATAATAATATGATATCACTTCACATATTCATCACGTTTTGTTATATGATATACAACTGCATAAAATAAATGTGTTACTATACTCAAATTTATAAGCAAAATGCAAATTGAAATAATTCGTTATTTCAACCTAAAGCGCTCTATTGAAGTCACAACCCATCGATTGATAGTGTTCCCGCGCGGACTCACAAGAGGTCCTACCACGGGACACGCGCGTGTACTGTATGACAATGCCGCGGATTCTCCATCGACTTCAATAAGTTAAGGGGCACACTGTTGAAGTCGAACATAATCATTTGTCGGTGTCGCTGACTTGGGCGAGTATATGTTTGACGATCTGGTCTATGGTGTGCGTGTCCAGCATGCGGGCGATGTTCTTGTCGTCTATCACGTACAGGAAGAGATGCTTCGTGTTCTCTCGGAGGCGTTGCATGCGCGTCCACATCGTGCGATCCGCTGGTTTAGCTCCGCAGTGCTCGATCACTTTCTCTAACACCTAAACAAAAAATAAACTCTATTTAGTTGAAAGTTAAAAGTTGTGCAGAATGAAAGATGCCGCAACGGAATTAAACTATTATCGTAACATGAATGAAAAAGATTCATTTACCAAGCTCACCGTAAATACTGACATACCCCGCGTTCGCTAGCGATCTTTGATCGGGCAAATCAACTAATTTGAATTATTAAAAAAATTAATAATAAAAAGGATTGTGTGGTTTTATGAAACCACGGTAAAAGTGAAACTTTTTTTCACATTATTATTATAGACATTTAACTCTGACAAACAAAATTTACATTAAACACTGACAAAAACAAACAAAATAGCGTGGAGCACTGGCACAAATGAGTAATAGTCTATACACTACACGGTCAGCTGCTGCGAACTATAGGCGCCGCCATATTGGCCTTGGCTGCTCTGACGAGCGTCTTTCACTTTATCCCTAATCCGCGGCTGACCGTCACGCGACATGCAACACACAGACGAAAAAGTTTGAGACGATGTAATCATAGTTAACCACTTCACTTTTACTTAAATATTTGTTAAAAGACTCACCACATCAACTGGCTCGTCGGGCCAACCGAAACACTCGAGTGTGTCTGAATCAATCAGTTTGAACAGCATTTTCCCTAAGTTGTCCAAAAGCTCCTCTTCTGTCATCAAAGGTCCATTATCGTTTTGCGTCTAGAAACAAATTTTACTAAACACAATGTTGATAGAATATATTAAAGGCGAGCCAAGAGATCCGTCTTATATGTAGTTGCTTAAACCAAACCAAATAGCATTTCACTCGATATAATCATAAATTGTGTTTTAAAACAACTCACGAAATTAAAACGACCACAGAAACAAATTTTCATAGCAAACTCTTTTTGCAAATTGCAAACTTGATTTATTAGCTCGGGATGTATCTGTGTAATGGAATATTTAAACATGATTTTTCACTACCTACAAAACATCGGATTGATTTGAAACTTGACACACATATTGAGGACCGATTTTAAATTTATAGAATTTTTATTATTATTTTAAACGCTTGGTTTTTTGTTTTTATATTGTTATTTATTAAACTAGCATATTTAAAGTGAGCAATAGATTGCTTAATGGCGAAATGATAAATATTCAACCGGCATCGACAACAAGTCTGCCATACCCAACACCATATCATATACATAACATATTTGTAGATCTGTGTATCTTATAGATGTAAAGCTTGTTTATAAAATAAACATGTTTAATTAATTGAATTTAAAAACCTCATTTCTCGCTCTTGTAAGCTTTTTTTATGAAACATGAACATCCTCATTAGCTAATTGAAGCAAGCTTACAGAGATGTTTTCGTCACTGTTTTCGTTGGCATCTTTTTGTTCCTGCATGCCGCCGTACAACACGCCGGTCCCCCCGTAGCCGTCCATGATCCGATCCGACTCCGCGTCCAGCATGTTCAATATACACTCTAGTTCCGACTTCTTCACTCTCACCGTATTCGCTTCGATACCCTGTCGTGTTGAACATAAATAAATATATAAGCCTTTATTGCTTTTAGATTTTAACTTATTTAACTAAACATAAAATGATAACAATAGAGGTAAGAATGTAAGAACACTATAAATTAACTTAAATTAATACTCCCGTTAACAGTTTGTCTTTCGACAAAATCCTCCTCTAAGGATTTCCATTTGTTTCTGTCCTTCACTGTACGTAACGTTTCTGGCCCAGCTACTTGCTTCAAGTCGTCTTCCCATCGCTTTGGCTGTCTTCCTCTAGTTCTTCTGCTTCCTCTAGGGTATCATACCGTTATTATTCTGGTCCATTTCTCTTTCTTTTTTTTCAGCATATGTCCTGTCCAGCGCCATTTTAATTTTCTGCATATTGATTGAACTTTTCCAAAATTAGTCTTTCCTTTGTCCTTTTTTTAATTCTATTTTATCTCTTCTTCTTGCTCCCAATACACTTCTCTCTATCCCACTCTGACATATATTTAATTTATTTTGTTGTTGTTCAGTTAACGCCTATGTCTGGCATTCGTTTGTAAGACATGGCAGCATTGAAGACTTTTTGTTTCTCTGCCATAGGCATTTCTTTATTTTTCTTTACTTCACTCAATGACCAGAATTTATACCCAAGTGTTTGCTATTCTTCTTTTTATTTTTTTTCTGTATGCTCTCTGTCGGTGATACTAATTGGCCCATATAAACGTATTCACTTACGTATTCTAACTCTTCATTATTAACTTGCAGTAGCGCTTTTTTGTGAGGAATTGCTCATTACTTTTTCTTTGTTATATTCATAGTGAGCCCTACATTTGCACTTTCGTCTGCTAATTACTGTAGCATATTTTCCAAGCTCATCGGGCATTCGGAGAAAAGTATTAAATCATCAGCGAATCTCAAATGACTCAGCTTGCCTCCGTTCACGTCAAGTCCGAAATTATCCCAACCCAGTCTTCTAAAGATCAACTCCAACTCAGCTGAGAATATATTCGGCAAAATAAGGTCACCTTGACGGACGCCTCTTTCTATTGGGAGCTCTTCGTCTGACCTTTCCAGTTTTATTTGTACTGTGCTTTTTACATAAATATTTTTAGGCTCCGTGTGTACTTTTTATGGACCCCTTGTTGTTCTAATGATTCCCAAATGTAGTGGTTTTTCAAGGAATCTAATTACTGTTGGTAGGACCTCTTCCGAGTCCGCGTGGGTATGTACCCCCACCCTGCGTATTTCTGCCGTGAAGCAGTAATGTGTTTCGGTTTGAAGGGTGGGGCCCGCCGTTGTAATTATACTTGAGACCTTGGAACTTATATCTCAGGGTGGGTGGCGCATTTACATCGTGGATGTCTGTGGGCTCCAGTAACCACTTAACACCAGGTGGGCTGTAAGCTCGTCCACCCATCTAAGCAATAAAAAATAAAAATTAAAAAAAAATCATCAGGACCGGTTGTTTTTCCTAACTTCTATGTAGTAATAGCTTTTTCTGTTTCTTCTTTTAGAGTAAGTGGTATAGGTTCAGTATCTTGAGTGTCTTCTGCATAGTCGTAGCAAGTTTATTATTTTTGCTTGTGTACAGCCCCTTACAATATTGCGTAGCAATATTTAATACATCTGATTTTTTTGTAGTACCTCTTCCTTGTTTGTCCTTAATATTTGGCATCCAATTCTTTTTCGATTCGAATAATTCTATAGTCCGAGTTAAAATTTACATTATGTCAAATTGACAGATCTTTAAAAACCTTCGGTTTATTGGTCATAAATAGTCATAATTTAACGGATTTCATTTTTAAAGAGTACATTTGGGGAAGTGCACGTTTGTTATTTATCTTTTGGAAGAAACTATTCAAGATACTTAGTTTGTTTTCTAAACCGAAGTTAACCAATCTTTGTCCGTTTTTTCTCCTATTACCATTTCCGTCTTCCGTTTCTTCCCTACAGTGTAATCTTCTACTATGACATTCCCCAATTTGTCCATTAAATTCACCCATTATTATTATATTTTTGTGAGCAGTATCAACAGTACATTGTAAATTTTGGTAGGGTTCTTCTATTTTGTTTATATCTTGTTTTTATCTGCATCAGTTGGCGAGTAAGCTTAAATAATTGACCATAATTCATCTCCATCGCCATTTTGTACGGGAAATTTGATGTTAAGTATTGCTATTCTTTCGGATTTGCCCTTTCTCCATTCAGTATACGTAATCGTATATTTACTTTTTATGAAAAAACCAACACCCCATTGCCCTGGCGTTTCTCCTTTGTAATGCAGTATATACTTCCCGTGGCCTTCTATTCTTTCGCTTATTCCAATAATATTTCAATAAATTTTGTCGATTGCTGTTTCTAGTTCGATGAGTTTCTCTGAGGATCTGAGTGAGCTATGTGTATGTCGCAATTATTATTCTTTTTTATTTATTTATTTATCCTTAGAGGGTGTTGTTCGGTTTCCCCCACGATGATCAGTCGGCTTGGGGGAGGGTGTAATTTTTCTATTTAAGATATTTTTGTTTTTTTTGTTTTGTTGTATTTTCCGGTTGTCGGGGATTTTTGGAACGAAGTTCTTATCGCGCGTTGTGAAAGGGGGCTAGACGGAAAAAATTCTTACGAAAAGTTGTCACGACACTTTTTAGATCCGTCATTCTGACCAATCAACGTGTAGGCGCTTATCGCGTGACATTGCTCGTATCCGATTGGTCCGCGTAATGAGTACAGTTTTTCGAGATAGCGTTTCAACAATAGTAATTTAGTTCATAGTATTGTNCGAAAAGTTGTCACGACACTTTTTAGATCCGTCATTCTGACCAATCAACGTGTAGGCGCTTATCGCGTGACATTGCTCGTATCCGATTGGTCCGCGTAATGAGTACAGTTTTTCGAGATAGCGTTTCAACAATAGTAATTTAGTTCATAGTATTGTTTTTTTCTTCTTCATAATGCCGTAATTTATTATTATAACTTAAAAAAAAATACAATTCCTTCACTAATTAATCGAAAGGAACTTCGTTCCATCCGGGTGTCCCTTGACACCTCTGAAGTTTTTTTCTTTCTTCAATCAACTCCGCCTGTAATACCTTCCTTTTGGCCAGTACATCTTTCGGATAGTCTTCTATGGCATAAATATCTCCTTAAGATATTTTTTAGTATCTCATTCTTTTTCCAACCGTTTACGAAGGAACAGCAGACTGGCCTCGGTTTGTTACCTTTTATACTTATTTTCCTTAGTCGGTATACCTACATATAGCATTTTCTTCGATGTCAATATTTTTGTCGCTTTTGAAACTTTTCTTTAACATATCCATTATTTCTCTTCTAGCTTCTATTTTTAACTTTAAGATTTTGTTTTCTGCTGTAATCGGGATTTTTTTCATCCAATCTAGACATTCATGTTATTTCAGTTATGTTTATTCAGTAATTTCTTCAGATTGTTTTTGCATTTCTAGTTTCAATTTTTTTTAAATTGGAATTGTGTCTCAATTTTATTAATTTTACGTAATCTTAAAACGGTAGAATGTTTTTCAAAATTGGCAACACTGACATATATATATATTAGATACCTACCCGCAATTTACTAATTTTTTTTGTATTTATAGCAAGTGACTTCGCTAGAACTGTCAAGGTCGAAGAAATAACACTAGAGAAATAGGCTAACCTCAGAAAGTTATTGATATAGGTATTTTAATTATTGAGATGCAATGTGCAAATTACACCTTCGTTGATATCTCTAACCCGTTCAGGCCTCCTTTTTCTTGTTGCACGGTATTATTTTGGAGTATATGATGTATAAAAGTATATTCAATTGCAAATCGTCGTCAACCACTTAACATCAGGTTTAGATCATTGACACATTTAGGCAACACAATAATACCAATATAACATTATTTCATATGACAAAATTTTACGCAAACAATATCGCAATTATTCAAATATATATTGTAAAGTTGGCGTAGAGGAAGCACTCACGAGGACCGCACGCACGTGCTTGAGATGCGCGCCGAACACGGCGGGGTGGTGCACGCGCACGTGCTTTACGAGCTGCTCGCCTCGCACGTAGGCGCGCGCCGACACGCAGTACATGCAGCGCCGCGGCCGCTCCAGTGTGTGCGTGGACAGGTGCCGCCGCATGTGCAGCTCCACCGCGAATCGCTTGCCGCACACTTCGCACTCGTATGCTGGCGACATACACGCACGGTGGGTGCCGGCTCCCATAGATACAACCTACCAATCGCAGTGGGTCACGATTCCGATCCGAAGAATTTTTGCCAGGACTATTGTTAGCAAGTCCTCTCAGGTTCAGTCTCGTGACCTCGCCTACCAAACTGCGAAGCTGGTGTGGCGGGTAGCCATCATACAACGCAATATATTTGACAGATGCCTGAATCTCGCTTACGACATTTTCAAGATAAGCCTCGAACAACAACATTCGGACCGTCGGTCTACCGAGCAAATATCACCCGCTCGGTGGAAGTTCTTACCTCCGTCGTTAAGTATCCCAAACTGGTATATCCCTTCGAGGCTAATAACAATTAGGTAGAAAAAAAATTGCTACGTGCTTAAAAGTTTGAAGAATTTGAATTTAATGTCTATCAGTCTAGTACATGTTTGAAGATATTTTAAAAATAAAATTGTTTGTAATTTTCTGTAAAAATGTCCATTTTTTTTACTTACAACATAGTTTATTATATACAGACAGGAAGTTATACTCACGTCTATCTTCGAGGTGAACTTTTACGTGTTTCTGCAATTGAGCCTCACTTAAAAATGGTTTCTTAGAGAACTGGCAATCTTGGTAATGACAAGCGAATTTGCTATTTCCTTTGTGTACGTTTTTGTGGTCTAATAATCTGTAATCATTTAAGTTTGTAATTTATGTTCAGTAATTAAATCTATCTCCTTAAACACAGAGGCGGATTATCCGCAAGGCAAACTAGGCACGTGCCAAGGGGCGCGCGAGCTCAGAATTTTTTAAATAAATAAATAAAATAACATATCGACGACTAATAACTAAATGCTGATCTATAATCTAAATCTATAATAGATTATATTGCACAAGCATCCATATACTCGTATTATGCAATATTGTGGGTTTGTTTGTATTTCATTCGCGCATTAGCGTAAGTACAAGGGTCCTGGTCTACTAAAGTCTAGGGTTTGATGATACAACGTCATGGTAATTGCAAAAACAACCAGTTAAATTTTACAGTATTATGATGGCCATTTATGGCCGGTACAGGGGCGCCAATAAAGTGATTGCCTAGGGCGCTCTGGACCTTTAATCCGCCACTGCCTAAGCATACTACCCTACATATTGGATAGTTTTTGGAATTGATTTCTGAGAGATGTTAAGTTAAATTTGGGCCAAAAGTTACTGGAACGTGAATGATAATCGAGTAACAATATTCTCAGGGCTGAACTAAGAGAATATTACGTCGGAACAAATAATTTAGTAATTAAAATTAAAAATTTGTATTCACGTGATACCGAAAATATAATCTAAAGGATTGTTAGAAGACTCATTTATGTTACTTATATAAGGCAATATTATAAGTTTTTAATTAATTTATTACACTTCATCTATTTATCTACGCATTGGAGCATTTTATGTCTAACGCATTCTCTACTAGTCAACCAAAGGTAGTGCAGAGTTGCAGAGTAAATACATAATTGTAGGTGCATAATGAGAATAATAAATTTAACTTTATAGCTAGAATAAAAAAGTTAAAATATGCTGTAATTCAAATAATAATAGTAAAAAACCAAAAAAACTCACTGGCACGTTGTAGAGAAAGTTTCTCCACATTTAAGGCACATTTTCTGCATATCATGATTGTCTAAATGTCGCTGGAGCTGTGATTTCTTTATGTACGATCTGTTACAATGCTCGCATTTATAAGGTTTATCCGTAACGTGAGTTAAGATGTGACGCCGCATTACTTCTACCGTGTATGTAGCATAGCCACACTGAAATTACGAAATAAATAGATTAGATGCTATTAGACAATTACAAAAATTAATGGTATAACTGGTCTTTTAAGCGGGCACAAATTCAAGGTATCTTTTATTTATCTCCGAGCAAGTATTCAACTTCTAAAATGTCAATAAATGTTTAATATAAATCTTTTTCTTTTTTTTTCAAAAATTTCCAAATAGTGCTTAATTCCAATTTTCACGAAAATTAAGTTCGATTGCGAATCCGACAAAACGCCGTGTTCACCCACAAAATTTATTTCATATATTCGTATGTAAAGCAATAGTTACACAGACAGTTGGACAACAATACTGTCATTGAAATCCGTGATCTGCCGTGCGTGAGTAGCTTCAGAACCATCCCTATAAATAGTTTTGTTGACTGAATAAAAACGCTAAAATCAACATTTTCTAACAACTTACCATTTATTTTTATCCAAGAAGCAGAGAAATAAATTATTAAGAATTAGTATTTCTTAACAACTAAAAAAATAGTTTGAAAATCTTGTTTTTTGATTAGTGAATTCAAATATAATTATTTCACATAGATTGCACTAATATAAAAGGTTACCACTTCACAGGCGTAGCTTTTTTCTCCGTGTATTTCTAAATGTTTGGCCATGGCTGTTCGGGAACCAGTAGATTTACCGCAATGATAGCATTCATAATAATTTGGTGTACCTTTAAAATTAAATTTTTTTATGACTGTTTCAGTGTGACATACAACAGTAAAGCAAGGAAATACTTAGAGAATTTTGTGATAATAAAATTTTGTTGAACTTATTATTGTATTTTTACATTCAATGCAAAGCGGTAGACGATTATTAGAGCCCATGGATATCACAATGTCAGTGCCACCAGCCAATATGGGACATGAGGTCCATGTTTTAATTTTATTTTAGAAAAGTTTTTCCCACGTTCAAATCAGAATGCGTGATTGTGTCACAGAAATGTATAAACTAATATTTTAGATAATCCCAAATCATTGTTCTCTGTAGAGATATTAAATTATAATTAGATAACTGTTCACATTTGAAACAGTCTTTATGTAATTAAAACATTCAACATCAACAATAATTACCTGAATGTTTTAAAAGCCAATGATTTACAAGTCTAGAAAAGTTTTTAGTTTCAAAAGTACATGACTTGCAAAAAAAGTATTTATCACTTTTATGTATGTGTTGAGTTCTGAGATGTACGATCAAATTATCTTTCCTTGTGAATTTTGAGTTGCAAATCTGAAATGAAAACTAATTTAAGCCTTATTTTAAACTATTTTAGTCTTAACTCAAGTTCATTTATAAATAATTTATAAATTAGTCAAAGTATTAAAATTAATTTATTTTTTAATACATTGGGATCAATACATACTGAATTAAGACTATTCTCCATGTAAACATGTTAGACAAGCTCAATGTAATTAATCACTCTTGCCCACATATTGTCATCATTGTGGCCTAAAGGATACGATTCGAATCCCAGTCGGGTACCAATTTTGTCTAATGAAATACGTAGTTAACAAATGTTCACGATCTACTTCCACTGTGAAGGAACAACATTGTATAATAAAAATCAAACCACAAAATTATAATTTGCGTAATTGGTACTGGTGGTAGCACGTCTTGTGAGTCCACACTCATTTTATTTATTATTTATTGTTTAGAAATGATCGAGGGTTCCTTTTTTTTGTTGAAGTTAAATTTTTTTTCATCCAATAAGTAATTTAGTTGCAACATTTGTGCTTATTGCAACATTACTGGTGTTAGGACCTCTTGTGATTCCGCACGGGTATGTACCACCATCGTGCCTATTTCTGCCGCGAAGCAGTAATACATTTCGGTTTGAAGAGTGGGGCAGCCGTGGTAACTTTTTTTTTTTTTTTGTATTGCCTTTGTAGGCATACGGGCATACGGCCCACCTGATGGTGAGTGGTTACCGTCGCCCATGGACTTCAGCAATGCCAGGGGCAGAGCCAAGCCGCTGCCTACCGCTTAATACTCTCCACAAGCCTCGTTTGAAGAAGGACATGTCATAGCGCTCGGGAAACACCGAGGAGGGGAGCTCATTCCATAGCCGATAACTAATATATATAGTAACTATACTGAGACCTTAGAACTCATGTCTCAGGGTGAGTGGCTCATTTACGTTGTAGATGTCTATGGGCTCCAGTAACCACTTAACACCAAGTGGGCTGTGAGCTCGTCTACCTATATATGCAATGAAAAAAAAATACAATCGTACACACTACCAATTCTTCAATTATTAGTAGAAAATTTTATTTACATCCAATTAACAAATTCCATTTGAGTTGACATAAATAAGGACTATGTAGTTAGATTGGATATATCCTCCTCCCAGAATTGCATTCTTCAAATTATCCTTCTCTGGATGATGTTTCCCCATCTTTCTTTTTTATCGGCAGTGTGTATGGCATTGTAGACTTTGTTATTAAGAGTGTTGCGATTTGTTTAGGCCAGCACATTGGATTGAGGCCTTGAGATCTTTTGATTAGATATATATATATAGATTATCTACATACTTACTTCACAAGGATACAAATTTAACTGATGACCATTACAGCCACTCTGTGTCATATGACGAGTTACATGAGAACGTCTTACAAATTCTTTGTTGCATTCTGGGCATACATACGAAGCTCTTTTGTGTATTGTCTCTATGTGTTCCTTCAGAACAGTTTCATTTGGACACCATATTTTACATTTTGTGCAAGCAACACTATTAGGTAATGTGGAGTGATTCAATTCTATGTGCTGAAGATAGCTCTTTTTGAACTTAAACTTCTTGCCACATTCTTTGCAGCAATATTGTTGCTAAAAAAATGTAGATCTTATTAAGAAATAGTTAAAGTGCAAAATTTATATATAACATGATACTTACGAACCTTAATATTAGAACTGATACGACAGATTTCTACGTGACTCTCCCACTTGTCCTCATCACAGGACTTTTTACACATTGTACAAACATAAACTCGTCCAGAATTTACTTCTTGTTTTATATCTATTGATTGATCTGTGTTGCTTGACTTGAGTTTTTTGTTCTTGGATCCTGGGGGGCGACCTACTCTCTTTCCTTTACGAGGCATCTTAAATTTGCAAATCGTGTTTACAGAACAATAGTTTATTTAGTTTACAAAACGAAACTACAACAATCAAGAAGTTAGTGGGTATACACTTTGATATTACTTTCACTCAGGCGCTCAGAGAAAAATATTAAACTTAACAAAATTTTATCTACAGAACACACAGAAAATAGCATCAGGCGCCACGTCTCTTTTTTTTTTTAAGAGATTTTATGACCTGGTAACTAAGACTTTTAAGTCATGTCTTATTTTACTTTATATTCTTAATTTTATGAAAAATGATAATATGGAGTGAAATGAAATGAAGATGATTAATTTGAGACATTAATCAACTGGGATGAAATTTAATGAAATGAGATGATATGGGATGAAATATAATCGCAGTAAAATGNCAACTGGGATGAAATTTAATGAAATGAGATGATATGGGATGAAATATAATCGCAGTAAAATGGTGGTCATTTACTGAGATTTTTTCAGTGGACTTTTTGGAGGAACCCGAGAAGTTACGTCCAGCAGCTTTGTTTCATTTTCCCACATTTGTGCACTTTCACAGATATTAAACATTTAATAAACCACCGTTATTACACATTTAAACCAGAAGAAACACTAAATAGACAAAATAAAACAAATCACACAACTTCACTGCTCGCGTTCCCGCCAAAAAGTCCTATAAATATCGCCACGTCTCTCAAATATATTAAGCATAGATTATACACTTAATATATTTGAGAATATTAAGTGTATAATCTATGGCCAGGTCTGCTAAATTTCTTGAGGTGAATGAAGTTAGCCTCTCAAAAAATTTTTTTTTCCCTATTATATACTTATTTTCTATTAATTCGTTTGTTCATCATTTGTTCATAATTGTTCACTGTTAATAAATGTTTGTTCTGCATTTATTTATTTAAAAAATATATTTAAAAATGTAGGTATACAAGTTAGCCCCTCTAATGCAATTTTTAATATTTTTTCATCCTTAATGACTCGTAAATATTCATTTTCGATTGTTCTTATACATAACACGTTTGTTCTCTTTCGAAATTACTCGTTTTTTGTTTAATTTACTATTTTTATTAGTTGAATAAATGTATGCAAAATATGTGTACTGCGCATGCGTCAACTATAATGCCTAAACTTTCTACGCGGTTTTAATCGTGAAAAAAAAATAACAAATATAAATCCTGAAGGAGCAATTAATTGAAATACAGTTTAATTAAAAAAATTAAAAAATAAATAAATGAAATAATGTGCATTGGCGTTAAGTTAGACCAAATACATTTTTTCCATCCTCTTACCTATCGTATTAACATGTTATTTTACTAATGTTAGAAATATAATTTCGACTGTGTAAAAAAGTTATTATAATGTATACCTATATTATCTCTTGAAAGATAAATAATGAACATATTTACTTATTTGTTTATATTACCTATGTGAACTCCCTATCTTTTTTATACCTTCATAACGATAAGTAGGAGGATGGAAAAAATGTATTTCGTCTAACTTAACGCCAATGCACATTATTTCATTTATTTATTTTTTAATTTTTTTAATTAAACT